TCTCCCTTTCTTTTTCTCTCTCCCTCTCTTTCTTTCCCTCTTTCTCCCTCTCTGTATTTCACTCTCCCTCTCTCCCTCTCTTTCTTTCTCCATCTTTGTCTTTCTCTCCCTCCCTCTCTCCCTTTCTTTCTCTCTGCCCCTCTCTATTTCTCTCTCCCTCTCTTTCTCCCTCTTTCTCTCTCTTTCTCCCTCTTTTCCTCCTTCCCTTCCTCCCTCCCTCCCTCTCTCTCTCCAATTGGGGATCGATTTGGAGGCGTGGAGGGGAGGGGAGCAGCCGAGGGCTGCCCATGTGACTTTGAAGTGGCCACCTTTGAAAGCACCAAGGCTGCTCCAGCCAGGCTCGAGCCGGGCAGAGTGGGCAATGGGAGAGGAGTGGGTCGATCACCTTACCAGCAGCCAGGACTCCAGTGCGCCTTCCCGGCTAGTGGGGCCTACAGTATCAGGAGCCCCGCGAGGGGGCAAGCCAGCATGAAGAGCCAAACCCTTTCTGCAAGGGAGGGACGCTTTGAGGGAGCCAGCCAATCACGGGACCTAAATTTTGACGGACGGCTGGCCTGAGCCAATGAGGCGCCAGAGGACTGGGAGCCATAGTTGAAGGCTGAAACGCCTTCAGCTGTAACTGCTCGCACGTGTTTGTGTGTGTGTGAGTGCGTTGGCCCAGATCAATGTTGCTTTCCAGGTGATAGGCGCTTCTTCAGGGCTCAGCAGATACACCGGGATCAATGCCGCTTTCCAGGAGATTGGTGCTTCTTCGGGGCTCAGGAGAAGCACCAGGATCAGCTCCGGAAGAAGTGCCAATCAGGCAGAAAGGGGAGCTGATCCTGGCGCTTCCCCTGAGCTCTCCCGGCCTTGGAGGAGCGCCAATTAGGCGGAAAGGGGCTGAGCTCTCCCGGCCTCGGAGAAGCACCGATCAGGCAGAAAGGGGCACTGATCCTGGCACTTCCCCTGAGCCTTGCCAGCGGGATGCGCGCCTCTCGATATCGTACGGTTTTCAACGTTTTGCTCGAAGCAGGGATGGAAAAAGAGAGAAGAGCCCTGCTCGTCACGAACTGAGAGCAGACGGTTATTGGCGTCGCGGCTCAAGGCACGTGACGAGGGAAAGAATATGATTAACACCGCGTGCGTGCACACACACACACAGTGCTTGTCTTCCACCACATTTTATTCATGTCAATCTTTTTTTTTCTTCGTAATATTGGGAGTTGAAAATAGTGACTCTACACAAACGCACACACAAACATGCAGGCAGGCACGCCCCTTCTCCTCATTCAGTTCCTTTCCTTGGCTCGTCCACCGCGTTCCTGAGGTGCCGGCGGCAGCTTTGGCAGTGTCTCCGTTCCTAAGACCATCAGAAATATGTGTTTTCCGATGGTCTTAAGTGACCCCTGTGAAAGGGTTGTTCAACCCCCAAAGGGGTCGCGACCCACAGGTTGAGAACCGCTGGTCTAGTGGTTAAGATGCTGGGCTTGTCAACTGGAAGATTGGCAGTTCAAGACCAAGTACCACTTGATGGCATGAGCTCCCAGGCAATCTCCAAGAACTGGACATGATTGAACAAGGGAAAGAATTATTTAATACATGGCTAGAGAAATAAGCATATATGTTCTTGGCCTATTCACTATTATTTTTGAGTAGTATCTTCCTCAAAAGCCAATTGGTCCTCTGCTCTGAAAAAGTTAAACAGCCAGTTCTAGTTCATCCCTTCAACCTCAGAGAATTAGTATATTGTAGCTCAGAGATGGGCAATCCTTGGATGACCAAAGGCTGTGCTTAACATTGGCAGAGTTGATGAGCATAAAGAAAATGGAGGCATGCCTCATATTCAGAGGTACTTTATTAATTACTTATTAATAATTATTTAATACTTCAAACTATGCACATGTGCTGAAAACTAACAGCCATTTCTCCACATTTTAAAATAGGTAATACAAATCATAATCAAATGAGATGATAAATTCCACAGTGGTAATAAAAACAAATTCTAAACATAATTATGTTTAGAATTTGTTTTTATTACCACTGTGGAATTTATCATCTCATTTGATTATGATTTGT